TTTGCCACTTGCTTGAGCATCTTAATATATAAACTTAATATATAAATCAGTACAGAAAGTAAATGCATTTAATAATATTGCGCTTACACGTGAATATGTCTATGAAAGATAGTATTACTGTGTGAAAAGATAATCACTATGCTGAGAGAGAAAAAAAAATTAGTAACAACTTTCGAATTTGAAATCAAAATAATGGTGGTAAACAGCGGATCATAGCGCACTGAGCACACTAAATAAAGCACACTGAGTCCATGCTGCTTCTGCACCGCATACGCACTGCAGACGGAGTATGTGTGAAACAGGCGTTAGTTTCGTTCACTCTTTGCTGATATACAGCACTCAACTGCCATGCACTAGTGCTGGGCGGTATGACCAAAAATTTATATCACGGTAGTTTTCAAAATTATACAGGTTTCACGGTACATGACGGTATTTTTTTTTTTCATGCATGACCGGGTGTTAACCATTTAAACGCATTTAGGCAGATCGGGATTGGCGCATTCCCTTCAAAAACAAAAGTAACATTAATCCTCTGCGTCTTCAGCAGCTCAGATGTCGGGAGTAAATGACGACTGCTTGTGATGTGTACACACACTTCCAACACACATTTATGTTCAAACAACTTGTAAAGTGAATTTTGCATCAGATGACCTCTTTAAAGATAATCAGAAACATTTTTAGGGGGCATATACAAAAGACACAACCTTTAGATTTTAGAAAGGGTGTCCTTGGCCTCAAAAAGCAGATATGAAAACCCCTGATATAAGCTGCCCACAATTATCTTTTTAAGGTTCAGTAGTATGTGTGTGTGGGCATGTAGTAATATTTTAAAGAAATCATTAATATAAATTAACTAATTTCAGTTATGTAATTCTTAAAAAGCAGTTAAAATGTTCATTTGCATATATAATTATAATAATGCATATTGTGATTGCCTATTTATCTTTACATTTTCATAAATAATGTTGAATTAATTGATATGGTATTTAAGATAAAATCTGATAGTATGTGCATTTTATAAATGAGGGCCCAAGGCTCAACGTCTTAGGCCAAAGGCATTTAGTGCTCCACCTCAGAAAGCAGTATACAATAAAAAGTATCTCACCATTAAGTCCTTTCCAACTACTCTTTTGCCGCACCATAATAAGCGAGAGGGGAGAACCAAACACATAGGAATTAACTACATGAGTCCAGAACCCACTTCATGGCATTTGCAGAGAATGGGAAACAGTATACATTAAAGACACATGTACTTCATTTTCTTACATTTTTTATACATTATATAAAGAGCTGGAGAATAACTAGTCATCATCTCAGAAACCAACAGAGCCAACAGACTGTCCACAGAATAAAATCAGTTTGCCCCTTTAAAAAAATACTTTTGTTAACTCATAGTGTAGCAAACTGTTTTCAAAGAGGGTCACTTGACTGTAGTTTAACTAAATTTATTTAAGTAGACTGTAGCTTGGCAAGCTAGTTTCAAAGTAGCTTCTCCAGCACTGATTATAAACATTATTTTATAACATAAGCAGCTCTTACCACATCCAGGTTCAGATTTCCATTGGGAAGTGCAGAATTCTCTAGAGGACTGGCACACACTACAACACGCTCGGGAAACACACGCAACTCTGTGAAGGTAAAAAAAAAAATTGTAGCTAAAGTGATGTGGAAACCATTTAGTACAATATTATATACAGTAAATTTTCCGTCTGAAACAAAGGGTGAAATGGGAGGGGAGATGAAAATATGCATGATATTCATATAAAATTCTCACAGATGTCTAAAGCAAAAAAATGGGAGTTGATCCACTAAAATGAATTTACAGGAGCATCAACAGTTTAAAATGACCTCAATGCCCTCTTCATGGGAAATGTTGAAATAGCTTTATTTGTAGTTTTTAACAAAATGGCTAAGCTGCCACAAAGTTGAATGTAAACTTTAAGTCCCCCACTGCCCCTCAGTCAATAAAGTTTCAAATAACTCAATATAAGTAAAACAAACCACATTGTTTGATGCATTATGGTTTAGTTCATTCAAACTTGGCCGAACTTAGCTTGAAAAATGAAGGCCAAGCAAACAGTTGGTCAGTTACTTTTCCTTCTTTTTGTTTTTCCTAGATCACTTAAAATAATCTATACCGGACAGCCTTATTAGTCTGCATGCTCCTACTTAGTTTGTATTTCTTTGAGGCATGTTAAACATAAATCATGTGCAATGATGACTGTAATTCCCTTCAGAGTCTGACATGCTATATCTCTAAAGATACAGTGAAGCTTTAGTCTGAACTTGTTTACTATGATAAGCAAACCACATTTTCCCTGTGAGCTGCCATCAAGCCAGGCTCGGGTGGACTTGGCTGTAGTCTGAAATATTTGTTGAGCTCTGCCTCTATTAGGATGGAGTGCATTCGTCACTAACTGTATAGGCAGATATAATGGGTTGTTACTTGAAACTGCAAGTTCTACATAAAACGCATTTGGAATCATGTTCTGAGTTGCCAACTAAGTGAACATATTTCAGTCAACTTTTTCCAAAATAAAAACGATCCAGACAGTGACCTCCGACTGAGCCTGACAGCTGTATGAACTAATAACAACACAGGTGCTTCTGATACAATCATCCATTTCATGAGTCAACTTAATATGGAAAGAAATACTCAAACCAGTCTTCTTTAATCAATGAGAAGAGGAAATAAACTACCTCTGTAGTGCTGCCTGACTATGCATCTCAGGTTGATGTGTCGTTTCATGAAGTGCACCGCTAGGTGAACATTCCCACCTGCAAAAGAAAACACTTTATGGAGCAAATCTGTTAACACTCAGAAAACCTTTACTGGTAATATTGAAACAGCGAGGATTTGTCACAGTAAGCTAATCATAAAATAATCACATTTAAGACAGCCTGTTTGTTTAAACAAATCCTCATTTACGCATGAGGAAACATTTTTCTCCGGAAAATCATTTTAATGCAAATCAGCACTGCATTAATGATAGTCTGTGACATCTACTGAACATGGACATTATCAATTATACGTGGCCATGCAAAAGGCCAGAACAAAGGCTACCAATGTCTGCCAAATATGACAGCGCACAAAGGCGGTTTAGAGTCTGAAAAAATACCAAAAAGATACAGTGAAGCTTTAGTCTGAACTTGTTTACTATGATAAGCAAACCACATTTTCCCTGTGAGCTGCCATCAAGCCAGGCTCGGGTGGACTTGGCTGTAGTCTGAAATATTTGTTGAGCTCTGCCTCTATTAGGATGGAGTGCATTCGTCACTAACTGTATAGGCAGATATAATGGGTTGTTACTTGAAACTGCAAGTTCTACATAAAACGCATTTGGAATCATGTTCTGAGTTGCCAACTAAGTGAACATATTTCAGTCAACTTTTTCCAAAATAAAAACGATCCAGACAGTGACCTCCGACTGAGCCTGACAGCTGTATGAACTAATAACAACACAGGTGCTTCTGATACAATCATCCATTTCATGAGTCAACTTAATATGGAAAGAAATACTCAAACCAGTCTTCTTTAATCAATGAGAAGAGGAAATAAACTACCTCTGTAGTGCTGCCTGACTATGCATCTCAGGTTGATGTGTCGTTTCATGAAGTGCACCGCTAGGTGAACATTCCCACCTGCAAAAGAAAACACTTTATGGAGCAAATCTGTTAACACTCAGAAAACCTTTACTGGTAATATTGAAACAGCGAGGATTTGTCACAGTAAGCTAATCATAAAATAATCACATTTAAGACAGCCTGTTTGTTTAAACAAATCCTCATTTACGCATGAGGAAACATTTTTCTCCGGAAAATCATTTTAATGCAAATCAGCACTGCATTAATGATAGTCTGTGACATCTACTGAACATGGACATTATCAATTATACGTGGCCATGCAAAAGGCCAGAACAAAGGCTACCAATGTCTGCCAAATATGACAGCGCACAAAGGCGGTTTAGAGTCTGAAAAAATACCAAAGCATTTAAGCAAATGAGAAAGAAGCCTCATAGTTCAGGCATGAACATAAGCAGTGCCAGGGGCTTTTTAGCCTTTGAAGTCCACTGTAACAAGACTGACTGAATGCTGAAACTATTTACAGCCTCTAATGGTGAGAGAGTTTTATGAATTCATGCTCCACTCCTTTGAGAAAAGCATGTAATGTGCCACTTTGCCTGCAAAATCTGTATTTTAGAATGCAAAAATCTCTAAATACTGGCTGAGCGGCTGAAAATTTGCGCTGAAGACTTATTTGTTATTCCTACATGACTCCCTGGAATACGTAAAGGAATAATGCACGGCTAGCTGTGCATTAAACAATTTTAATGCACGACGTGGCGACCAAGAACCACTTGATGGGAAGGTGTCGCTCTCTCTCTCTTCTATGTGTGTGTGTGTGCGACGAATGATGTATATGTGTTGTGCATCAATTAAAACAGCGCATTAATATAGAACGGTGATTAAACTGACTTGAAACTACCAGTGTATTAAACGGTTTTAATGCATACCTGCCAGCCAATCAGATTCGAGTATTCAGACAGACCATGGTATATTCAATTGTGATTGGTCAGTTGCTGCATTTTGAGGCCTAATATTTTAGTGTGCAACTGCCAGACTGTATAGTGGATCACACTGTGCTAGTTTCGTGCCTCTTGTGCATTCATCAATCTTGTTTTTCTCACAAAATAAATTACTTTCTCAACTCAACATTTATTAAGTGGGATAAGGTACAGTCAACAGGTAATTATCACAAAATAAACCTCTTCATTATGATATAAGACCAGATCATTCTGTCAGCATTTATTTTGCAATGATAAGATGACAGGTGAATAAATGATGATTTATTGTAAAAATTTCTGTTTGCACAATTATGTTCACACAATGGAAGAAGTGAATAAATAGGGTGTATACAAAGGTACTAAAATACACTACTGCTAAACTGCTAAAATACATAAACCAAGGTTAGTTTGTGACTCATTCGGTCATCGACATCCTTCAAGAAGAATCAGAACTGAAAAAGCATTCTGGATATTACCAACAAATATATTCAAGTTAAAAATGAAAAAAACTTTCAAAAACAGAATATTTTCACACTAGAGCTTCTGTTGTGGACTCAAGTCAGTTTGACATTAGTCAGAAAATAAGTTTTCTGATCTGAGATTACTAAACACTATATTATGCAATTTACAGTGCATATAGTACAATGAATATAATAAAAATATAATAAATATTTAAAAAATGTAATTCATTTATTTTATTTAAAAAATAAATATTTTATTTGCTCAGTCCGAACCATAGGTACTGAAAAAGATGAGCATATATATTAAATTATGTGCAATAAATTGATACATTTTAATTTTTTTTTTTTATTTAAATAATTTTTTTCATATATTTATTATATTGTATACAGCACTTTTTTCATTGACTATGGATTGGACCAAGCAAATCAAAATCAAATCAATTGTGAAAACAGCCAAAGACACTGAAATCGCTTTTAATGTGTCATTTTTAAATTGAACCTTCATTGAAGCATTCAGTGATGTCAACATTATGCGTTCATTCACTTTTGTAGTTGCCAGAGCAACCATACCCATTCACTGTTAACAAGCCAAGAAAACAAGTTCATTCAACCCTCCTAGTGTTGAAGCAACGACACGACCATTCTGTTTTAATTTAAGAGACAGCGGGCAAAGGAAGAATCCAGCCTAGATCTGTTTGTCATTGTCCAAGGAATGCAAGATCCACTCAACGCGAAGGCAGAGCACTTTGCTTAATCTGGGAGGAATTTGTCGGCAAGAGAGGGGGCCTGGTGAACACGCTAGATATCTGCTGGTGCAGCTGTAAACAAGAAAACAGGCATGGGAATCCATCAGCTTTCACTCTGTGCCCTGAATAGACCCCTCTCTGTCTGTCTGTGAGAGACTGCCCTAGGCTGCCACAGGACCGTAAAATACACACAAAATGGATCGGACTACTATCTAATGACTCTAAGTGCTTGAACATATTGGTTCAGATCATAGAGACCAGACAGGAAAACAAACTCAGCTTGGGCACTCTAAAATAGCCTCACCCTTACATTAAGCACATTTGTCTGTCTTCAGAGTACGTGTTAGATGTGTCAAATGAGCAGAAATGCGTTACAGAAGACAGGTTTAACAGCTGATGTCATCGTGGACCCTGCTAACAGCTAGCTAGGTCCTCAAACAAGAGCTTCTGCGGGTATAATGATATGCAATTACAGTGTCTGCCAGCCACAAAACTGTCATCAACACCCCCTGTATGTGATTGATGGATCTATTTGCTACTTTCTTCTACTTCACAGGTTGTGCTTTACAGCAGCTCCTCTTTAGTTGTTTTATTTACAATGCCTTTTTCCTCTATCGGTGGTCAAAACTAACTGTGCTGTAGAAACAATGGTACAATCAGTCACAGTAAAGAAAGAAGATAGATTAGGACTCCGTATCAAACTTCCTGCACATACTTGCTTTGAAATAACTTCTCAAACGTTGATAGAAACCACAAACAGAGCATTTAAACAATATTACACCCCAAACTCAAGTCACTGTATCCAAGATACAAAACAATTATCATAAAAGTAATTTTATCCCACCTACGAGAATAATAGGCTATGGTAAGCATCTTGTGTGAAACCCCGGTGAGCCTGCCAAACAGGCTCCTAATGTTGATATTCATGTCAAGGTTCCATGCGACTGGTGCTCATTTTGCTCAAGGGAAGTGATACAAGACTAGTGGGAACTGCAACACTTAGCTCCACAGAACTGTTCATCTAAGCAATGCAGGTTAATATGAATCAGATGCTCCCTCAGGTGTTCCTCCCCATCACAAAGAATCAACCGAGGAGGATTTCGATATCAGATTTATATGCTTTTGAGATGGCTTGGGCCTTGAAGCGCTCAAGGGAGAAAGGCAACACCGGCAGAGAGATCGAGATGGCACGTGGAACCCTACCAACTTCAATGAGGGTGAAATAAAGCATGCGTGGACAGTATCAGCGTCTTATCTTTCCTGCTCCTAATCATTTGAGTATGCAACAGCCATCCCAAAAGCTTAGGAGAGTTATGGGAAAATAAAATTCGGTCATAACATGAGTCCCTCTGCTGAGCATCAAGAGCCTAGGGCATGTTCTTTACCTTTTTAACTTTAGCGTGGATGGATAAAACAAACAACAGACTGATAATTGGCATATTTCAAGAGATAAAGAAATGGGCATCTTTCCTGTGTGCTTCAAAACCTTAAAGTTTAGTACTGACCTTTAGTCAGTTTCATTCATGTCCATCCCAACTTAGATTGACCCATCCTCCCGAGTCCTTGCTGAAAAAAAAAGTTTAACAGCATTTGTGTTTCCTCTTTTCTTTCACTTCAAAGAGGCAATTCCCAAGACAAGGCCAACAGAGGAGTCTTGCTCTAGAACCACAAAAAGGCTAAAAAAAATTGTGTACATTTTGGTGAATTTTAGCAGTTTAAGCACATCTAAAGCAACTCTTCTTGAGGGAAAGAAAATAATGGAGTTATCTAGATAAAGACTGATGTTTACAGAAGTGCTTCTCAACTGTTTTTGATTCAAGACCCAGATTTTACAAGTGGCGACTCAACACTGTATCAGGATTGCTTATCGAGTAAAAGTAAACAAATGTGCCCATAAAATTAAACACTGAAATTTGTCATTTCAGTGTGAGAGAGTTTTAGGCTAGTAGACAGAACTGTACAACTATTTTAATGCCTTGCAAACTCTAAATATTTGGATTTCTGTGGTGTACTCTACAGTGTTGCTGCAAATTCTTCTGATTTGTCACCAAGATAATGTTATCTAGCTAGCTGACATTAATGAGGTTTTGTCAAATTTGGGGGGGGGGGGGGTGACAGTTTTGGATGCATCAGTAAGACTGTTGAAAATGACATACTTTGCTTTGCATCATTTTCCAGCCAAATCTGCTTATAGAGTTACGTTAAATGCAAATGTTCTTTGAAAGAAAGAAGGAAGAAAACATTTATTACTTTTTCTTTTTGTAAAGAAAATATTTTTGTGAAAAAAAATAGAGAAAACTTAAAAAGTGGCATGTGATGTTCCAGAGAAGACGATTGAGATGCCCTCTGAGAAAAAGCGTTCCAACACTGAGTCCACATGGCAACACAACATCACAACATATGTCTTTCTACAGGTTTCGCTGACACTATTCCAAGGCAGAAATACATACAATATATTTCTGCCGGAGCTTTTACCACTTCCCGGGAAAACAATAGAGAGAACGAAAAGTCAACAAACCAGAAGAATGTAAAGAGGAATGTGAAATAAAATGGAAGAGCGGGTGAGAGATCCCTTGTCTCCAACTAAAGGCATTCTTTCCACTGATTCAGAGTTCAAAGAAGAGCACGAGCTATAAAAACCTCATCAGCTCTAAACAAATGGAGAGCACAGACAGCTCGACATGCGAAAGAATAATCATCTCTCAGCACCACAGTCTAGATCCCAAAGAGGTTGTACAATCTAAACACATCGAGCTCTAAAAACAGACAACATCAGATATGATTTTTGGTGGTACAACTCGGTACGACCCGTGATATCAGCTACTGTGTGCAGTGGGAGATCCTGAAGTGATCTCACAGACATGAAAACC